GAACTAAGTTAACTATGGTTTGTGGGAGAACTTAACCAATATAGACTACTAAGCTACATAACTCCAGTTCAAACATATTTCTAGCAGGTTCCTTGGCCTGTATTATTCAAAGCGTTGCCTCCAATCGACTTTTCATCTTATTCATAGACACTTGATTTTCAGAGCAGCCGTTTAACTGATAGAATGGGAATGGTCCAATTAACGTGACCAGCGCACGCAGCCAAGGTGGATCGTTTAAATCAAAGTCAACCGTAAGGTCTGAGTTACTCGCCCGGCTCACTCCCTCCGCGCAGAAACCCGTGTCCTTGCATTGGCGACCAGGAGACAGCTCCTGCCAGCCCTCGGCCCCTGATCTCCCTCTGCACCGGCTTGGACCTGTTTGGAGAGCATCTCTGCCACACCTGGCCCGGGCTGGCCGCCTGCCCTGCTCGGCGGCGGGGCTGGGGCTCTGGCTTCCAGCAGCTGCTGCAGCAGCTGCCTCTCCAGCTCAGGGGCGCGTCGTTGTGGAAACAGTAACCGTATTTCAGAGCGGAGAGAATCAGCATTCCTGCTGGGTGACCAGAGGCCCCGCACAGAGCCGCGTGCGGGAACATGCTACCGCTTGACCGTGGCCCGTGTTCTGACAGAGCCAGCTGCGGTCCTGCAGTGCACCGACCGCCCCGCCAAAGTCCCTCTCGGCGCAGGGAGAGAGCCCAGCGGGGACCCGTTTCTACGAAAGTGTTTGGTGGCATCACACACACACACACACACACTCACACACACACCCCTCATAGTAAAGGATGAAATGATTGGTGTTCTCACCCATAGGAACTTTTCTGTGTTAATGATTCTCCTAATCTACTGCTTACAGAGGTGCCTGTTTGTGGTTCTAACCCAGGTTTTGATCCAGTACGTGCTGCAGGAAGTCCTGGGACATGGGCTATTCTCAAGCTTGAGTCTGGCCTCGGTCATGTGCACTACGCTCTTGTGACAGCTTGATCAGCTTGGAAGAGTGGGCTACTACGTATGGATATAATGACAAGACAAAGAAGAGAACAGCGGAGATACACCATTTCTCTGTCTCTCCCTTTCCCCGCCAAACTCGAGCTCCACCTGGCGTGGGCACGTAAATCCAAGGGCGACCTGTCATGTTGACAGCCAAGACGTTCTTTTTTTTTTTTATCCTCAAACAGGACTTTTTTTTTGATATTTTGTTCAGATAGAGTAGGAGGGAGAGAGAGAGAGAGAAACATCGACGTGAAGGGACACATCGAGTGGCTGCCACCCGCACGACCGACCAGGGCCGGGGACAAACTGCAACCGAGGTACGCGCCCTTAGCGGGAACCGAACCCGGGTCTCTCTGGACCGCAGGCCGACGCTCTAACCGCTGAGCCAAACCGGCCAGGGCAGACAGCCAAGACGTTCTTTCAGGGAGACCGGCTACCCTGCCTGGCCCGCCACCCGGAGGCGTCCCCGATGTGCGACTCCCAACACTGAACGGAGAAAATTCCCAAGAAAAAGCTGCTACCAGGCACAAGGATGACCCCAAAGTGAGCACAGACCAGCTGCCTTGGAGACCCGCCGGGAAACGGTCGCTCTGACCATGACGGCGGCAGAGAGCTTCTGGAAGAAGTTGCCTCAGCAAGTGAGGAAAGTGGCATTTCCAAAGTGACAGAAGCAAGCACGTATCTGCAGACGTCCAGGAAACACCGCGCAGAGGACTGTGTGTGAGGATTAAGGACCCGGGACAGAGAAACAGGGCTGGAAACTAGACCCTGACCGTCGGTGAAGGTGCTTGGAGAGCCCATCAGTGGACACTGCTCTGTGTGACCTGCTCCTTGAGTAGCGGGGAGACGGGCACGGAGCTGTGGGGACAGGCGCGAAAGTGAAGAGGCCGTGCTGAGGACCGAGTCCTTACTGATGGCACAGAAAAGATGCCCCTTGTTCCAGGATATTTCGGAAAGACGATTAGTCGACCCGATGACTGATTCCTTGTGGCCACTGACCGAAGAAGAGGTTTCAAGAACATTTTCAAGGTTCCACAAGACCTGTGACTGGGACGATGTTTGCTGTTAGAAGAATTTGGGAACACCAGAGGACACACACTTGTGTTTTGGTCCAGAAGCTAAGATAACACATTTAGTTTTGAACATTTGGGTGCAGGGGCCTGGCCCGATATTCTCTTGCTGTGAGAGAAATCACCGAGAGCCGAGTGCCGGAGGGCAGCCCTCGGCCGTGATCTGCCAGGAGTCCGTGTCGCTTGGCTCAGGGGCGGTGCCCACTTGGGACCTGTCACAGTGCAATGAAGTCGCAGCTGGGGCTAAAGGCCGAGGCTGGCGGGTGTGCGGCTTTGCTCTGTAAGGTGACCTCAAAGGAGGTGCACTTCTTATTTCTTTATTTATTTGGGTACGTGCCCCTAGCGGGAACCGAACCTGGGACTCTCTGGTCCGCAGGCCGATGCTCCAACCGCTGAGCCAAACCGGCCAGAGCAAAGGACGGGCACTTCTTCAAAGGTTGCTGGCTCCTAAGAGGCCCCAGCAGAGGTGTCCGTCCTCCCCAAAGGCCGGTCTGCACTGAGCCTAGCGTCACCTGCACAGTATGACGTCACCTCTTCTTGTCAAAGTGGTCAAGGCCAGCCCAGGAAGGGAGCTTGGGGGCAAGAGGGGCCACCTCTCCGTGGGTGGAGTGTCAACACGTGTGCAGTCCTCTCTACTCTCCCACGGTGCTTACAGGACATACATGCGGAGAAATACTGAGGGACAATAGTGACCCTAGCCTGGCTGTCCTGAAAGAAATCAGAACTGGAGATGTGAATGAATGGAGGGTGAATAAATAAAGCATGGGTACTGAAATCAGCTTTATTTGAACAGAACCTGAAAAATTATAAAGGGAAATAATAAATCAGGATATGGGTATTACAGTGAATATAATAGATATCCATCCCAGATCCTGCGTTTTATACAAGAATTGTGCGAGCCTAGACACTTGCACATGGAAAGAATGGGGGGTTGGACACCCCGCTTCTGAACTAGAAGTTAGAAGATGGCACAAGTATAAAACATGTTTTCCAGTGTGCACTGGTAGAAAAAAATAGTAGTGAAAAATTTTGATATGTCCGATTAATCTCTGTTATAAGCAGATAATGCTTAGTGAACAAGGGTTTTAGGGAATGTAGCTTCCATGACTGAGTTCTTTCTCTCTGTTCATCTTATTCTAGAAAAAGCAATGAGTGAGCCTGGTAGAGGGGTGAGAAATGAGGGTGGTTTTCATTTGAAAGTTGTTGGAAGATCTCTAGAGTTTAGCATTTAGCTCCAATCATAATACTAAAATGAGAAAAGATATATTAAAATAAAGCAGACATTTCTAGAGTACATTATATAATCAAAAGTAAATAGTTTATAAATAGGTAGAACATTTTATTTTATGCTTAAAATCCTCGACGGGAATAGGGAATAAAATGTTTGATTTTATTCCACAGTATGGATTTCTGATATCTAGCTTGGAATAGCCTACATGGATGAATAATTTCACTGCCATGATTTGGAGGTTTCTCTAATTGGGTCATAAACTGTGGAGGCTACTCTGTAACTCTGCATTCAGTGTCTGCCTTCTTCTTTGGATAGCATGAAAGGGGGGGGACAATGCCTCCAAAGTTATTAAATCTTTATCAAATAATGGCTGCAAAAATGATAACCATCAAGTACATCTATATGTGTGTGTGCTATATATGTATATGCATACATATAAACATATATAAATATAGATGGTATGGTTCATTCTTTAGTTTGGAAAACAAGAGACATAAAGAGGAAAAGGAGACAAAGCCACGCAAACTGAACTCCAGGGAGGGCAAGGCTGCTGTTCATCAGACTGACGCGGACAACCCTGACCAAGGCGTGCCGGGACGGTCGCTCACCGCCACTGCGGTGCAGTTGCAAAGCCACAGCGAGCTTAGTGGGGCTCCCCATAAACACACCCATTAGCACAGGAAGCATAAAGACGGAACCCAGGTTGGCACACATTATTTTAAAAGTACTGTTCACAAGAAAGGATTGAAAGCTCGAGCTAAGATATAAGAAAATATATATACGTACATGTCATTACCCTGATGAAAGGGCCAGATTTTTAAACACTGAATGGCTAAAGAGACCTGGAAAGTCAGCGACAGCACTGTCTACGACCAATGCCAGTGGCAATCATGTTTCGATGATAAACAGTAAAGGGAAAAACTTAAGGAGCGATGCATATGTGTGTGCCCCCTCCTCCCTAGAGCATTGCGTCCAGTGTTGGCGTGAAATGCAGAGCATCCGCGGGGCGGTTGAAGGCCCGCTCGTCCCAAGAAGCCCTTGCCCCACGTCGAGGTTGAAACTGGTTTCCACCGGCTGAACGACCGCACGAACCAATGCTATTCAGAAGGGCTTTAACTTGCACAGCTGACTGGAAATGGGTGACTATGCTTCTGGACGGGCAGTGAAGGCCCATTTACAGGGTCGCCTTATCTCTGCTACTTCCTGCCATTCCTGCCAAGCTTCCGTCACAGGCAGCTGGTGTTTCTCCTCCAACCTCGAAAACCCTTGGAGCACAGTCCTGCCTAAAGCTACGGGTCGCTGAAGGTGTGGGGTCCCTGCTCTCATTTACATGTTGATGAAGGAAAAGTCTCTTAATTTGGGACATTATGGATCCATCAATCTGTAGAGAAAACGAGCATGCATTTATAATGCCACCAATATCACATGATTTATTGTCCTTGTAACGTGTAAATACAGAAGGTGAACACATGAAAGTTCGGCTCTCGGATCCCCTGGACGGGAAGTTCTGCCTGCCTGCAGCTAACGGGGCAGGTGACACTTCCTGTGACAGCCAGCCTCAGGCCTCTGTGTCTCCTCTCACCATGATGTCAATTCAGCTAGGTCTCCGATAAACACCGTCACACATGACTCTGTCTACTCTACCTGACCAGTGGTCCTGGTGGGGAGGGGTTGTGAGTGTAAAATGAAAGGCTCAAAATGGGTTTCCATACCTGATTGTGGACTTTGCTTGGGGATTTTGGCTACCGCTTGAGGGCTGGAGGTGGGGGGCAGTCGCTGGTTCGCAGAGCTGTGGATGCTGCTGGGGGCGGCCGCCGAGACATTCTTTCGGGGCTTCATGTCTTGCAGCCACATGGGCGAGGCTTCGAAGGCCTGCGCCCTCCGCACGTGGCTGTTGGCGTTGACCTTCAGGTAGGCCTGGGCCTTGTGCTCCTGGAGCTGCCCGTAGTTGGCGTCTGTAACCCTGCACTCATACAAGCCTTCGTCCTTTTTCCTCACTTTGGAAATCTGAAGCTTGTGGGAGATGTCGTTGCCTTGGACCTTCACTGTCTGAAAAATGGCAGGAAAAAGAATCAATCAACCAAGGGCTACTTCAAAGGATCGTGCGCTCATACTTTGTCCCGAGCTTGCTCATGTTGGAAAACGACAGTCTCAATGGCCACGGTCAAAGAGCTCTCTACGGTCTCAACGGTGACATCTCGAAGTTCTTACTTATCCTAGTCAACTGGCTTCGCCGATCATGGGATACTAGTTCAATCCAGCCGGCGCCAGGCTCTGTGAGCTACACGGTCCCCAGTCCAGGTTCTGGTGACAGCGGTGCCTTTCCCAAACATGGGATTGGCCTGGTTACTCAGCGGAATGAGCATGGACCTAAGGAAGTCAAGCCTAGAGTTTAATTACACAGCCTCTTTTCTTCACTGTGGGGTCCGACTCCAAGAAATCACTAAGGTACCGTATGGGTGGTTGTGACCAACAGTGAGTTTAACTGAGAATGTGCTTTATCCCCACACCGGAAAGACTGTTAAAGGTGCGGACAAAGCAGACTCGGATCCGAAAGACTTTTCTTCTCAGTTTTTTGTACACTCTGACCTCGGGGCACGGGGCGGCATGTTCAGGGTGCAGATTTGTGTCACCTGAGATCCTGTGGCTCGGAGCACACAGCCCTGCCATCGCTGAGTCTGTGCTGCCGGAAGTCACCACTGCTTTGATTTTCAGAACTGAAATGGGCTCGCTCATTTCTTCTGATAGTTTTCAGGCCAGATTAATCGCAAGATTGCATGTGTGTGGTTATGTATAATACATAAAATTCTATATAATATGTGATACACATCCATAAGCATCTTTATCAAAACAGTTTGATAAAGATGCTTATGGATGTGTATCACATATTAGATGGGACACACGTTATATACTATCCATGACTGAATTATGATGAATATCATGAGACATTCAGAATGTAAGAATTTGGATGATGTTGAAAAGAGAAAAGAAGCGACGGAGACCGAAACGGACTTTTACACCTTCAAATGGCCAGAAGTAATGAAAATGTGGCAGGTGTTCATCTGCTTTTTACATGAAGAGATAACCATAAGTATGCAGGTGTATGAAAAATTACATGTACTGTAATACTATAAAAGAATGGAAATTGATAGCTTCAAATATAGTCTTAGTTGAATCTGCTAAGAAACCTGAGCACTTGTTATTATCCCATTTTACAGTAGAGTAAACTGAGGCACAGGGGAGCCGGGCCGGTGGTTCTCGACACTGACTGCACGTTAAATCTTCCGAGGAGCTTTCGGGACGTGCTCTCCCTCGGATCGATGCGGACACACTGCCTGCTTCTCTAGGGCGGGAAGCCCCTGTCAGGATTTGATAACAGCTCTCCTGGAAATTCCAAGTTAGCAGCTGCTGGTTTAGGACACATTCAAGGTCACACAGTGGGTAAACTGGGAACAAATTAATTTCTACCGCAATCTGTGTCTAGAACTGTTTTTCTCTTTTTATTGGGGGGGCGGGGTACGTGCCCCTAGCGGGAACTGAGCCTGGGACTCTCTGGTCCGCAGGCCGACGCTCCAGCCGCCGAGCCAAACCGGCCAGGGCGTGTCTAGAACTCTTCCCAGTGTGCTGGATGCTGTGAACTGTTGGCATAGACGACCCTGTTAGCAGTTTTTCCCAGGACTGCGGGTCTGACTGCAGGACTTCCCTAGGTCCGGGGTGGGAGGCTGTTCGCACTACTAGTCTTCGAAGGTTTGACAAGTGAGGCGTGAAAGAGGACTCCTCACTAAACAATCTGTCCAATTACGTGTGTATGAAAAATGAAATATCTAAGGAAAAATATTGTCAACAATCGATCGTACCAATAAAGCTTTTCTAGCACAGTCTGAGGACAACGGCTTCTGTGATATAAGAATAACTGAATTGAAATATTCTAAAAAGTCAGTGAGTTTATGAATACAAATTGGAGTTTCTGCTTTACATCTTTTGTCTGATATTTTCTTCCATTTTGAGATTATACATTTAGATTATAGAATTTGATTCTATTAGTACAATATATATTTATACTTTTGGTTGTTATGTAATTCCAACCTTATACCCCCTTATGCTATTGTAAAAGCCTCAGAATACATTTCCTTTTAAATGTAGGTCTCTTAGATTTCTAATGTATATATCTAATATACATCTAAAATATATCTAACATGTATTTATACTTAGCACACCTCCTTATTATATAATTATTTCATTTCTAGCGATGAAAACTTGTTTACTATTTATCGACATGTGAAGCAGTTCTGTTAATGATTCTATGTGGCTTCATTTGAGGAAGAGTAAAAAAAATAAAATTTTCAGATTGTCTTTTTCTGATTTCACACACAAATATGAAGAGTAATGACCAGTAAAGTAGAAATGTGAAATATATCTCTATATTTTAATAAGATAACCTCTTCAATTATGTTTTTATGTTTCTATTGGCTTTTGGTTTTATATTCATGTGTGACTGTTTTGCCTCCTATTAAAGGTTAGTTATTGACATAATCTTAAATGGACAATAGCTGTCTACTCTTACAGTTATGTAGCTGTTAAAAAGCCAACAAGAAAAAAAAAAAAGCCACGCACCTCTTGTGATAGCAAAACGATTCTCTAGTACCCGTTTAAACGTTACTGTGATTGAAATAATTTCATCGTACCAGCTCTAAATCCTTTTCAATGTCTATGCACCCAGTGAGGTAAGAGACACCGGCTCTCAGCCTGCGTTTGCAGAATTGCCTTTTTCAGGAACAATAAGTTAAAAGGCTTAATATCAGGACAATACATGAAAAACCTGACACGTATTAATTTTCGCCCTGGGCTTGCCTGGCCGTGGACAAAGGCGCGCGCCCCCTGTCGTCGGTCCCCGTGATACTCACACTGATCTTGGTCCCGTCGTTGTCGGGGTCTCGGTCGGGCAGGAGCTCCACCTGCGGGGAAGGAGACTAGCTCAGCCCCGGGAGCGGGCGGCCCCAGCCCGACCCGCAGGCGGCCCTTGTCGCTGAAGCATTTCAGGGGCGCGGCGCTGATTGAGCGGAGAGAGGAGCACGGCCCCACCGGGCTGGCGAGGCCGGGCCACCACCGCGCGGGGGCGCTGCCGGTCGCGCTCTGGGCTGGATCCCCGTCGCCAGGGGCCTGGGAGGGAAGGAAGGGCGAGGCGCGCGCGCGTGCGGGTGGAAGTTTGCAGGGACGAGGCTCTGCGTGGTTGCCAGGCCTGCGTCCAGTCCCTGGGGTCTCACGGACAGATGTTCTTTTTCTCGCCCGACAGCCCCGACCCGTCTGCTGCCTCTTTTGCTGAACTCGGTCTCCAGTCTGCGCTCTGACCCCTGTGCCTTCTTGTCTCTTCTCCCCTTGGCCCCCCTTTCCCTCCTCCTCTGCTTCTCCTCCCTCCTTCCCTCCTCCAGCCTCACCCCCACCCCGCACCCCCCTTCTCTTTCCTCTGTTCTCCAGTGGCCTCTGGTCCCCTCCTTCACTCCCTTCCCACCCCCTTTCTCTTCCCTCCCGCCCTCTCTCCTCCCCTCTACCCCTCCTTCTCCCCTTCTCCCTTCCCCTCCCCCCTTCAGCCTCACTTCACTCTCATTAACCTCTTCTGCCAATCACAGACGTGGGGGAGGTGGGTGGAGACACCCACAGAATTCGACACCCCACCCCAAGGTCCCGGAGATGGCTGGTGTCCCCGGGAAGGATCAACACTGGAGTCCATCGGGGCATCTGGACAACCAGTACCGATAGGAGGCCCTTCCCAGGTTTAACTGGAAAGACTCACAAGCTTCTTCCTTCGTTTCAAACTCGAGTCCCCAGGACACAGGCCGGCTCACCCCCTGGAGTCCCTGGGTCTCACTCAGGACAAGAGAGCCCGCGTCGTGGCCCACGGACCCCCGTCTGGAGACCCAGAGGACGCAGGCAGTAAGTGGGACAGACGCAGGGGGCGTGAGGGCCACGCAACTCCGATCCCCTACCTGCGCACCCGCCACCTCGGCCGCGGGCTCCAGGTCCTCGGGGCCCCGCAGGAACCACCACTGGATCTCCAGGTACACGGAAGCCGAGCCGCTTTGGAAAGCGCAGGACATCTCCACATTCTGCCCCTCGGTCGCGGTCACGTTGCGCGGAAACTCAGTGAATTTTGCTGTAAAACAGAAACGCATCCATTTAGAATACCCATATCACGTTTGCCAGCTCTCTTTCCTGAAGAAATCCCCACATTTTTCTTGCACACACACACACACACACACACACACACACACACACACATAATAATAACAACAATCAAGAACTAAAACCCCTCTATGACATCCTGTACTTTCCCTGGCTCCCCACCCCCTTTGCCTCTCGCCTGTCTTATTTTTGGTATAATGCCCAAATCACGGTGCTGTCCATCAAGTCTGGGTAATGGAAACCCTAACAAGCTTGCCAATAACTCCCCCTGTTAGCCAGGCTGCTCAGTTAGAGGCAAAACAAATCTTTGTCAGATTGCAGCAGTCCCCAGCATTTACTGGGATTCGGTGAGGTGCGTTTTAGACAAATCTGTCAAGTTGATGTATGAGGACAGCCTCTTGCCCCCAAGTTTCTAACCAATCTATGGCAACTGGGTGTTTCATGTGATTGAGGACGGGTCATGCTCACCTGTCGAAATGCACATTCTTGATTTATCAAAACAATTAGCAGCTGGGATTCAAAGGCCACAGAGTGGAACAAGTCACACACTTGCTAAGCTAGATCTAGTTCTTTCTCTCCAAACGCACCTTCACAAGTGTTCCCATCAAGCCACTGCACTGTGAATTGTCACATAGCCTGGGACGAAGAACCACACACCTGGATTAAAGATCTTCGTGAAGCCACTAGGGAGACCCCCCCACTCTTTTCATGACCAACTTTGACCCTGCTAGTTTATAAGAATCACAGCAAACCCGACAAAGATGCTCCCTTTTCCCCAAAGGCATTTCTTTAGCATGAAATGCTCTGGATGGTTGTTTTTACTCTGGTCTCAGGGACACTTTGGGAAGAGCTGGTGGCTCCCAGAAGTAGTGGTAGAGAGACGTGGGGCTGGCTGTGTGCACATGCACAGAGAGGGGGACCAGAGGGCTGCAGGTCTGGTTCAGGGTGCATGCACTCACATTCCCGCTACTTTTTAAGGAGAGCCACCATCCGCATCCCTTTCCACAATATCATGGAATCCCACATGCTCCCCATTGAAATGGAACTGCGTTTATACCCAAAGCGAAGGGGAGACGTGAAGGAGACGTTCTGATGGGAAAAGGACTGTTTTGTTCCGGGGGGAAGGAGGAGGTGCGTTGGTGCCTCCGGAGTGATGCAGTCTGGCAGCCCCGTGAGATCTGTTCATGGTGCTGATCTGAGCCCTGCAGCCTGCGAGGTCCTAACGACGGATTCAGCAGGCTGCCGGCTGGTTGGAACGCAAGTCGTGCCTTTTGATGGGTCCTCCGAGGAGTCTGTCCTTTGATAAACACGCATGCAAACGAAGTCACAGGGACCCAGAAAAAAAGAAACTCTAAACCCATTCTGCCTCCACTGGAGCAGGAGTACTGGCCAGGGAGAGTCCCTGTTTGTTTGCGATGATTATGTATGCATGAGTGGTCACCCTACACACACACACACACACACACACACGCACACCCGTGTTTCTGCTCACCGAGCGACCTACCTCACTGTCAGGCACCAAATAGATTTGCTTTCAAATCCAGCATGCCTACCATTGAATCAACTTTAAAGGAAAATGCCGAACGGAACAGCATTCCGCTGTCACTTGCTAGGAATCTCACATCTGCCTGGACACACACACACACACACACACACACGCCACAAGCACATGCCTATTTGCCAGACTTACCTTGAGAAGAAAGGCCTTGCTGCACATATAAAACAGAAAAGAAGACAAATCCAACATACGCCAAAAAGATCCCCATCATTCCAAAAAAAAAAAAAAAAGGGTTGGGGGGGTCACATCAGTGTAGCCAACCACCAAAAACCCTAAAAGACAGGGGTGCCACCGTGCCCAGGCGGTCTCAGAGCCCCCGGCGCGACGCTGCGCACATCCCCGGCTGGCGGGGCGGGACGGGCGTGGGGTCGGCGCCGGGCGAGCTGCAGCCGCGGCCGGGCGGGAGCCGGTGCAGACCGCGGGCAGCGCGAGTGTCTCCGCCGCCTGCTGCTGCGTCCCGCTACCTGGCAGCTCGGCCCACGTCAGCCGGCTCGGGCTTGCGTGCTCACTGCCCTCCCTCCACGCCGCGCCAGCCCTGGAAGTGGAGAGTGGGCCGGGGCGGGCGGAGGACCTCGCCGGGCTGCTGCGCCGCAACTTTTCCCTCTAATGGCTGTGATGATGCGTTAACCCTCTGCTGGCTGGGCCGCCCCGCACCTGCTCGCCGCGCAGCCCGCGGGGGCGAGGGCTCGGCTCCGTCTCCCGCTGCCTTCTGCGGAGCTCTGGATTGTTTGCTTTTTCCAGTAGGCTTCTTCCCCCCGGCCAGTAGATTCTTTGCAGCCTGGGCTCGCTGGGCGCTAGGAGGACGGTGCAGTTGCAGGATTGCGGGGAGCGGGGTAGCGGGGTTGGGGGCAGGAGCTTGGGATTGGAGCAGGGAGTTGGGGCATGTCGAAGGGTGGGGGTGGCGCGGGGCGAGAGGGACCGCTTTGGGGCGATGAACACAGCCCTGTGAGGGCCTTGTCGCTCCCCCAGTTATTAACTGCTTTGACTGGAAGCCTCTCGTGTCATTATTTGACAGCGATCATTGCGGGCCAGCCTCCGGCGGGCCAGCCTCCGGCGGAAGAGAGGCAGGGGACAGGCACTATACCACCCCAGCTGGCAAATGGAAGAGACAAAAAGTCCAGAAAGTCACGTATCGAGAGAATTTTCCAGAAAGAAATGCTCACCATACTACTTTCACGTTTTCTTATTTTAAAAATTCAGCTACCCTACTGCCTCCACCTGGAGGAGGGAGGGGTTTTAAACACCGCTAAGGTCTTCATTGCAGGATTTGCTTTGTGTATTTGCTTTTCTTTTGCCTAACACAGTAATTCCTCCATGTTCCCCAGGATTGTATGAATACGGAATGTTGTTCTAGGATCAAAAAGCTCAGTACGTTTTAGAATTTGGACCACATCTAGTTATTTGACCTGGAGAAGCTTTGAGATGTATATTCTATTTCTTAGTAAGAATTAAAAAACAGTATACATCACATTAAAGATCCTGTCCTTATGAAGCCCAACTATTAGTCATTGATTTTAAATCTTTTTAACAAAATTAAAATTATTTGCTATCTAAGCAGAGTATCAGAAATTTCATTCCCCTTATTATTTCTATCACTATCACAAATCTGGAAATATAACTCAGTCTTAACAGTGTGGTCAGGAAACCAATGCAGTAAAATGTATTTTCACTTTACTTATAAAAAATTGTAGTTGGCTAATTCCTTCACTGACCAGGAAAACATTAACCTAACACAGCCATTAGACTTTTAAACCACATCTATTGCTGAATGTATAAGTAACTTAAAAGGCCAGAAAACAAAGTCACAATAACTTTATAGCAATATTATTTATTTTCTAAAGCTACATTGATTTTGCACTGTGAGTAGAGGCAGAATATAACATTTGGAGAAACTCATGGAGATATTTACTATCTGATCATGTCTAGGCCAACAAGATACTGTATCCTTCTGCACTGAACAAAGGACCCTGAAGCATGTCATTCCAAAAAACTAATAGGTCTCATGGATAATATGTTCACAATATAGAAACAAACTCAAGTTAATACATCTACCCCATACTAAACATTATCTGGAAAATAAAACTCTTCAGGTGTTAGAACCTCAGGGATTAGTCATCTCCAGCTTTAAATTTTATGCCTAACTGGACATGCTCAATGTTTATTACAAGGCGTTGGCTCTACTAGAGCATTCAACATCAACATGTGATTAATATGCCATGAATACGACCTGAGTTCAAGGTTATCTGCTGTGGGAAGAGTTTCGAATATAAAGAAAAGGGCATCAGACAACAGTATGGTGGTTACCAGAAGCAAGAGGGTTTGGGGTTAAAAGAGGATGATTTGACTTTGGGTGGGCACACATGCAATATATGATCTTATTAACCAATGTCATCCCAATAAATTTAATTAAAAAATGTTCTAAGCATAAGCATAAGCATAAGCATAAGCATAAGCATAAGCATAAGCATAAGCAGAAGCAGAAGCAGAAGAAGAAGAAGAAGAAGAAGAAGAAGAAGAAGAAGAATCCATTGTAAGCAAGGAGAGTTCTGAGTTAATTTAGCAAAACACTTCAGTGGTTTTCAAGGAGAACTTGATCACTACCACTGCCAAAGAATAACAAAAGTTCAAAATATGAAAAGTAAAGTGTGAGAAAAGCTTTAGAGTACAGATAAACCATCTAACACTTTAAATAGAAAGTTGTAACATTGAAACAAGAGAAAGAAAGATGGAAGGCAGGGAGGGAGAGAGGGAGGGAGGAGTGGAAAAGGTTTTATGTTCTTTTTCTTATAAAAAGTGCCTGAAAGATATTTAATTTTCAGTTTCGCCAATGTAGACCAAAAATTGTATCTCAAATACCATCTGTTATGTCATCTCCAGGGCTGTAAATGGTACTGGTAAACACATCTGCATTATCTCCTCTAGATTTGCCTTGTTTTAAGACAAGATGTCTCTCTATTAACAGTTTGCAGTGATAAGAAAATTTAATTAAAAAGTAAATATATCCAGTATATCAAACGACACAGTTCTGAGACTAAGAGCATTGTTTTAGACAAGTCTGTAGAACACTGCATTCTCCTGCAAGACCGGCAGTGACTTGTTAGCAAAGACGAGTTGTCTGTATCCCTGTGCGGGAGACATTTCCTGCCCATTCAACCTTTCCCAAGGTGATGGTTGACACCTTATTCTATAAAAATGACTGCAAATCTCTTCTTTAAAAAAAAACAACCAAAATGCCTTGGTTGGTTTGCTCAGCGGTTAGAATGTCGGCCCATGGACCAGAGGGTCCTGGGTTCGGTTCCTGCTAAGGGCACGTATCTCGGTTGCAGTTTGTCCCTGGCCCAGGTTGGGGTTGTGTGGGTGGCAACCACTCGATGTGTCTCTCTCATGTTGATGTTTCTCTCTCTCTCTTTCTCCCTCTCTCCCTCCCACTCTATCTAAAGATAAATGCCAAAAAAATGTCCTTGGGCGACGATTAAAAACAAACAAACAAACAAACAAACAAACAAACAAACAAACAAACTCATTGCCTGGTCCGTGTGACTCAGTGGTTGAGCGTCAACCCATGCACCAAGAAGTCGGTGGTTCCATTCCTGGTCAGGGCACATGCTCAGGTTCTGGGCCCAATCTCCAGTGGGGGGCATGCAGGAGGCAGTCAATTGATGTTCTCTCTTATCAATGTTTCTGTCTGTCTCTCTCTCTCTCCATTCCTCTCTCTTTAAAATCAATAAAGAAAACACACACACACACACACACACACACATACACACAAAACACCCTATTTATGAACTAATGCTCCCAAAATAAAATCCTACAATCTCATTTTTAAAAATTGTATTCTTGCCCTCTGAGTTAACTTTTGGTCTTTCTTTGTTTCTTTTTTAGAATTTAAATATCTTTATCTATTTTCCCCTGCAATTTATAATATGATTACTTACTGAAATATGCCCTTTCTTCAGGCAAAATTAATTCTGCATTCATTCCATTGCCTTCCTTTGGTATCTTACTGCATTCTATTCTTTTCATTTTCTTTGTGAATAAAAACTAGCTTCAACTCATCTTTCAAGCACTGCTCCCTTATGATGTCCGCTGCTATCATATATGCTTTCGGAGTCATTAATCCACCACGAGCCAAACTGGGGCTGGAGCTCTTATGCTCTGTGACCACAGACCACATCATCCCTTTTTCCTAAGAGGGCCTTGAACTTGAGGAGGATCCATATTTCACTCCCATCGCTCCTGATGGAAAGGCTTCCCATACTGCACTGTGATAGTCTGTTCCCAGCTGGGACTCAGTAAGTGCCCACTGTAAACTTTCCTGAATAATGGGAGGACAGAAAATTAGGCACTTGATTTAGAAATAAACTTGGAAATGAAACCATCTAAGGAATTAGAAGATCATCCCTTATAAGACACAAGATGCGAGACAACTGGAATCTGTGTGGCAGAGATTCAAAGACTATTCTCTCTGCGTGTTGAATTTCAAGTGACCTGCTTACTCGTGTCTAACAAAAAAAAACACACAAAAAACTGGGGTGCAATTAGCTTTGGTTCCTTTTTCAGTATAACTTGTAGAACCGAGAGCATGAACAAGTTCCATGGTTCTCCTTAAACATTTTCAACCTCCACCCTCCATTGTAAGCATTTCAGATCTTAGGATCTTGAAGAAATAAAGTCTCAATCTGTTTTTGTGTCACAGGTGGTGGGGCCACGAGCGGGCCCTGGTCCCTTCTGTGCAGAACAAGCAGCCTGGATTAATGGCTTCCCAAGCTCCAGCCCAGTTCTGAAACTCCCGCATTTTACAAGGAAGGGCTGTGTGTGTGCTCGTGTCCCCGCCTCTATTTGGGGCACGTGGGGGACACCAGTGAACTGCACTGGCAGGCATTGGCTTCTAGGGTTCAGTAGTAAACAGAACTTCAAAGCCTGTCTCATTTTCTTTGGTTTACAAAGAGGGCCTTTGTGGATTTTTAATAATATCAATATTTAAAGACTCTGTACTCTTTTCTGTTATTCCTCCAGGTGAGAAAAACAAGCCGCCCAGGTAAGACGTTACAGGTGCAATGTTTCCTCCATATCCCCAGTGTTAGCTCCTGTGCAGTTTTCGTTCTTTCTTTTCCGTTGCAATAAACATGCTTTCCTAACAAGTTCTGAAAGTAGCGTTGTGTCCATTTTTATTTTTATTTTATTTTTTTTAATCCTCACCCAAGGACATTT